GATCACCATCTATGAGGGTCAGAGTCCTTTATTTCAAAATGAAGTTGCAGCATCTATGACAGTTCACTGCAAGAACCATGACACACGTATGAGAACTTATTTTGTGCCAGGCCCTGCCTATTAGGGGATGACAGGCAGTATCTAATTTGACACTCATGTGTGCACACGTATAATGTATAAGGTCTATGTCACATTACTCTTCTCCATGGGGAAGCAAGCTTCCTTGGTGCTATATCAACCTTTCTTGAGATTCCAAGCCTTGGCTGCTGAGATGGCTCAATGGGCGCTCACTGCCATGAGGAGCTGTTTCGGATCCCTCAGTCTCACATGGTGGAAGAAGAGAACTCCCAAGAGTTGTTCTCTGATTTACACACATGTACCATCTCTCCCTCTCTCTCTCTCTCTCTCTCTCTTCCTCTCTCTCTCTCTCTCTCTCTCTCTCTCTCTCTCTCTCTCCCACACACACACACACACACAGTAAATTATAAAGTAAAATTATAATCCTTTAAAATGTATATATGTACAAAATGACAAAATGTGTGTTCTCCGCCCACCTCAGCCTCTGAGGACTTGGGACTACAGACACAGGCCAGTGTACCTACATCAAGTTTACATATTTAAATTATATGTCCAGAAAATGTCTTAAAATGTGTACAGAAAGATGAGCAAAGAACTAACCTTAGAATAAGGGAATCTAGGGGCCAGGGGCATGGCTCAGCTAGTAGGACGCTTGCCTACCATCCACGAGGCCATCCTCTCAATTCCCTACACCAGAATCAGACTTGGAAGTAAGGGCAGGAAAAGCAGGAATTTGGTTCATCCTTGGCTACAAAACAAGGCTAGCCTAGACTACAGATATGTATATATAGTACTATAGGTATATAATAAAAATGCAAATATATAAAATTATATATATTACTTTTTCAGCTCCAAGATGGTTTCTAAGAATTAACTTTTACTTGTAAAATTTAAAATTCATAAGATAAACATCAAAATATTAATATAGGGAAAACAATTCAGAGGGACATAATAGAACAAAACGTTTAATATGTTCATGACATTTACCTGATGGGTTTCTTTTTTTCCCCCATTTTTTAAAAAATTTGTTGCATATATACTAGATTTGTTTTTGTTGACTTTGAATGCAATGTATTCTGGTAAAATTAAGCATTATAGATATGACTTTTTGTATCTTTGCTTTCCAAACTTAGCTTCCTCTCGCATGTCCTTTTGTACACATGCATATTGCATAAGTTACATGTCTCGATGCTGTGACAAAATTCCCAATAAAAACGCGTCAGGAAAGACCTCATCGTGGCTCACAGTTTCAAGGGCACAGTCCACCACGGTGGGGAAGGCATGGCTGCAGGAGCACAATGTGGCAGCTTCCTAACCACAGTCAGGAAGCAGAGAAATGGATGCTGGTGCTCAGCTCACCTTCTCCTTTTTACGTAGTCCAGGACCCAAACACAGGGACTACCACTGCCCACAGTTAGTGTAGGCCTTCTGTTCATCATTAACCAAATCTAGAAACTCACGGACATGCCCAGAGGTCTGTCTCCCTGGTGATTCGAGATCCAGTAGAAGTGAAAATCAATACTGACCATCGTATAAATCCCTGCGTGTATTTGTTCACAACTTGTGGGAGTCATTTCTCTCCCTCCACCGTGTGGTGCTGGGCACTGAACTTGGTCATCAGGCTTGACCGCGAGCACCTTTACCCATCGAGCCTTATCTCACGGGCCCAGTGTGGTTCTGGAGACTTGTAACACATTTGCTTGAGACCTCCTGTAATTTCATTCATTGTTATATCCCAGACCCCATGTCACTAAATGACAGGATGTTCTCATGGCTGACTAAGCAGGACTCTAGAACACAGAGACACAGTTATACGAATGCTCTATTACCATCATTTAGGTTGGTTACAGTTTTCTATTTTAACACTACAGCGAATTCCCTTCTTAGAGATTTCTTTGGAAAAAGACTCGAAGAACTGGACTTCTGGGTCCATATAATTTAAGTTATCTCAATAGACACTCTTCCAAATTGCTCATTTAAATGACTGTATAAGATTCACTCTCCCATCAGCAGTACAGGTACACATCACTGTCAGTGGCTGCTGAACCCTTTCTTTTTTGTCTGTTAATAGAAAGTGGAATCCTGTTATTTAAGTTAAATTTCCCTGGAAAAAGGATGTGTATCTTCATATTTGTCATACATACGAGTGTTCCTTTTATTCTCTCTCTCTCTCTCTCTCTCTCTCTCTCTGTGTGTGTGTGTGTGTGTGTGTGTGTGTGTGTGTGTGTGTGTGTGTGTGAATACTGCTGGCAACAGCCAGTTTCCTTCCTCCACCATGTAGTTCCTGGGGATCAAACCCAGGGATGCAGGCTAAGCAGCAAGTTCCGTAACTGACAAGCATCTTGTCTGCCCCTGTATTCCTTCTACACCAACCTCTGTAAATTTTCACTATATGGTTGTCTTCTTTTCATTGATTTGCAAGAGTCCTTTAACTAACCTAGAAATGACTCTTCCTATCTTTGTGTTTTGACCTTCATGTGACTTTTTTTTTTAAAAGATTCACTTTTTAATTATATGTATGTGTGTATGCTTCTCTGTGAGTCGTGCATGAGCGCAGTTCCCACATAGGCTGTGAGATTCCCCTGGAGCTGGAGGCTGTGACCCCCTGGATGTGGGTGCTGAGAACTGAACCCAGGTCCTCTGGAAGAGTAGTATGTGCTCTTAACAGTTGAGCCACCCCTTCAGCCACTGTGAACTCTGACCTAGTTTTTCATATTCGTATGCCAGATCTGATGAATTTCAGAAGCCACATTTTAATGTCTTCTCCATACCACAGTCATGCACCTTTTCCAAACTTTCTTCTAAAACGCTCGTCATTTTTCCCTGTTTATTTCCACCATCTGAAATCACGGTCCCTGTTCCCAGCCCCTGGAGCCTGCACTTTCTACTAAAGCCCCAAGCTCTCCCACACCACCCTGCCTATATGCTGGCTGCTGCCTCCTGAGAAAACAAAACCACAAGGACAAGGCACTTTTCCGCTGGTGACAGGGCCCAGTGGACAAAACACTCGCCGTACACGCCTGAGGATTTGAGTTCGATCCTTGAACTCTCGAAAGTAGAAAGAACACCCCTCAAAGCTAACCCGACTTCTTCATGCACACTGTGGCACCACACACCCGACAATGACAATAATAGCAGCAGCAGCAGCAATTCTTTCCCTCAGCAATTGAACTGTCTGTTCAATTCTTGAAGACAGCTCAACCAGGACTTCGAAAAATGGTAAAACAAAAATAACAGCTCATAGAACTGACTGCCCCTTGTCTGTGTTCCGGTGGCAGTTTGTCCTGCCATTCCAGTAAAAGCATGCCTATCTTTTCCACTTACTGCGGCAAAACATGTCTGAGGCCATCTGTGTATTCAGCACTTTGTTTAATGAACGAATGAATAAAACAAACAGTCTCTGTTTTAAAAAAGGGCTCTATTAAACCTTCCAACAGAGCCGAGCGCTTCTGACCATGCTAATCAGACTCTTCGAGAGGCTTCCTCTGAGAGAAAGACCTAGGCCCCCTCACAGCTCCACCACCACAATGAATCCAGTTTGCCCTCTCTGCAAAGGGAGAGGCCAACACTGAAGTCCAGAGCCAGCCAGCCCTTCCAGATCTAAGCACAACGTGCTGGCTGAGACCCCTTCAAAGCTGCTATGGCTCAGCAGCCCAGGAACCAGGAGAATCGCATCGCTCTGGAAGAAAGCCTCTTCCGGGACACAGACTGCGTCCCCACAATTTTCTTCTGGAAGCACACATATCCGGCTACCTACTCTCCCAACAAATGAATTTGCTGCTATTACAGTTTCCTATAAAAAAGCCAGGAAATAGCCCAGAAAAGAATAATGCTAGCAGCGTTATTAGTGTAGACTGACAGAAAAAAAAAGAAGAAAGAAAAACCACCCCCTACACCAGGAAAGCTCCCTAAAATAATCACTACCCAATGCCTTGGGGGTGCACATCTCACACCCCTGGGGTAAGCAATGATCTTGACTGTCCCTGAAGAGCCTCCTCCAATCTCTGTCAGACACAGAAAACAGCAGTTTCTCTAAAGAGTATCTCCACACAGTATGTTCTTGGTTGCAGTTTTCTCTAAATTTTTTTATGACTTTTTAAAAATTTTGTGTGTGTGTGTTTCACATGCAGGCAGCATCCACCCCTAGCATATACAGAAGTCCTGTCTGTCACTCTGATTTATACCTTTGAGAAGGATCTCCTACTGAACCCAGAGATTCACTGGCAGCTAGCATGTCCAGTGGTGTGCTTGTCTGTCCCTCTATGGCTCTGGGGTTACAGAAGCATCTGGCCAGGACTTGCTTTCCTCATGGGTGGTGGGGATTCGAACTCACTCCCTCATGCGTGTGCAGTAAGTGCTCTTAACAATCCCTCCAGCTCTGGTTGTGTCTTTTGAAGAACCCAACACATCACGTCACCAAAAAGTTCCTAAGTTTAGAAGAAAAAAATTACTTATTTTTGAGGCAGGGCCTCATGTAGTCAAGGCTGGCCCTGAACTTCCCATACAGACAAGGATGACCTTGAACTCCTGATTCTTCTGTCTTTACCCTTTGTCTATCAAGTGCTGGGGTTGCTACCGCTGGCTTATTCCTGGGGACGGAGTTCAGAGTGCACTGGGCACTCTTCCCGCCGAGTCACACTCCCGACCCTAAGATAGGACACTTTTATTTCTGGCTGTGAGCCTGGCCTTTAACGGTGGAGCCATCTCTCCAGCCCAGATGTGCTACTTTTAAAACAAACATTTATTTCATTTTCATTCACATTTCAAAACATTTCAAGTGCTTTGCTTATTTTAGAACAAGAAAGGAAAGAAGGCAATGGAGGGAGGGAAGGAAGGAGGGACAGGAGAAAAGGAGGAAGGAAGGAAAAGAAGAGAAGAGAACGGCAAAGAGAGACCTCCACAGGGAAGAATCAAGCTGAGGATTAATTTTTTAAAGCTTTATTTGACAATTCAAAAAGCTCACTTGTGGAAGAAGGGACCTGAAGGTGTGCCGGCACGCTCACCAGGATGAGGCGGGATTAGCCTTATATCTCTCATAATCTTCGCCGCAGAAGAAGGCAATTTCAGTCTCACTGGCTGAAAAGAAGCACGGGGAAGGAGAGAAACAGTATTTTAATGTAAAACTAGGTTTTGAACAAGTATGGAAATCCGTATTACCCTGGTCTGCTATCATGGATGTTGAAAATGAAAAGACAAAGTGGCGGCTGGACTGCATAACTCTCCATCAAACCAGCCAGAAGCGTCAGTGTGGCCAGAGCAGATTAAAACTCAAATAATTCAAAGACAAAAGGAAGAGTGATTCATGATAGTGAGACGGTTACGGAGCCTTCTACCGAGCCTGGCAGCCTGAGTTCAATTCTCAGAGCTCACACGGAAGGAGAGATCCTTTCAAGCTGTCCTCTGACTTACACACGTGCACGCACACACACATGCACGCTCACACAAATAAGTGCAATCTAAAAATTTGAAAACAATCTCCTTAAAATCAAGAGTTAACACAAGAGTGAAGATTTTCAAGAGGTACCTCCATTGCTCATTTATATCCCTGGAAAATAAAAAACCTTGATCTCTTTCAAATAGTTCCAGAAGGGAAAGGACTCCCTCTGCCCCCCGAAATTAGCCCGTAGGTATAATAATTTAATACTTGGAGGATCAGTAGAATATTTTACAGATCACTTTACATTCTCCCTCATGACCCATCAAAATATGTGTCTGAAGAAGTTAATTTTTGGCCCCGCTCATGATTAATTCATGAGGCTTCAGCAATATGCAAAGTGAAAGACACAAATTGGCTTCTATGCAATACCTTCAAATGCCTCTAATTATTCACAGGGGAAATGGCTCAGCTAAAGGACCCACAGAAGTTCAGGGCGGCCACGAAGCTTTCAACCTAGCGGGTCAAGGACTCTGTCTTCTAAAACAATAAGTCAGCAGCATTATTAATTCAGATCTGATGGAGAGCCTTCCCATTATTAAACATGTGGTTCTTCAAGGTGTTGGCACCCACAAGTTCCACACTGGTGTTTTAAAATTAAACCACGAGTTAATACAGTCTGCTCGGCTTTCACAGAAGGCAAAAGGGCCTTCCGAAGCTCAACAAGAAAACAGACGTGATTATTCGTAATGAATACTGAGCACTCAATTAACATAGGCGCTCGGAAGAGACAAGGAAAACTCTTCACCCCAAATAAATAGGATGAGGAGTGCAGAGGATTAGCACTGGTCTGCAGCAGTTGGCTCTAATCTCATCATTAGATTCTATCACAAAAGAATGAAATTCAAGAGATTAGCATGACATTTCATTAAGAATGGTTTTATTGTTTGCAAGAATATCATATGTAGTATCTCTCTGCCATAAATTACCCTGTGCTCTCGAGAAAATAAACAAATATTGAGAGGAGAAAAACGATATGACCATGTTCACGGATCCTTGGTCCAGACATACTACATCCACGGGATTAAATTTAATCCAAGTGGTTGGTAATTTGATTGGGAACTCTCATGGCATTGAGCCTGGGTGGGGGGAACTGCAGAGAGAAGCTGAGAATCAAAGACGGGCTGGAGATGAGCCTCCCTCAGCCAAGAGTGGGTCGGTAAGTAGTTCAGCATCTCGGCAAGTTACCACATTTCAAAGAATCAGCTGACTGTAACAAGGGGGCTGGAGGGGTTGGGAGATGACTCTGTGGGGAAGAGCACCTGTTCTGCAAGCACGGGGACCTGAGTTCGAATCCCCAGCACCCATGTAAAAGCTGAGCATGACTGTGTACATGGGGTGGAGATAGGAGGATCCTGAGAGCAAACAGCCTAGCGGAAACAGTTCAACAGTGAAACTGTGAGTGTCTAAGTCAGTGAGACCCTGTCTCGAGGTAAGAGAGAGAGTAACAGAGGAAGACACTGGGTGTCCTGCTCTGGCCTCCACACACATGCTACAAACACATGAGCACATGCAGGTGTGGCTACAGAAAACCTGCTATTCCAAGGGAAGGTATGGGGCACTAACCTTTGCAAAACCACAACAAAACGTTATTTCTGAAGGGAAGCATACTCGGCAAGAGTCACCTGACTGAATCCTCCCTCTCATCCTTCTTTGCTTTTTGACAAACTACAAATGATCTAATCAGAGGGAAGACAGGAAGGACTGGGGAGATGGCTCGGAACTTCAAAGCACTCTCTGTGCAAGCAAGAGGCAGCACGTAAAAGGCTTAGTGTTGTCACACATACCTATAAGCCCAGTTCTGTGGGAGGTACAGAGTTGGAACTTGGTGGCCACCACCCTTGCTCCAGGTCTTGGGGAAATGAAGTGGAGACAGAGCAGACACCCGACGCCCTACTGTGGCCTCTATGAATGCACCTCCATACAAGCACGCTACACATAAGCACACATACAAAATAAAGCACAAGACAGCTGTACCCTTGGCATAGGGGCATGCCCAAAATCCCAGCACTGTGGAGCCTGAGGCAGGAGGATCCAGGCTACTGGCATGGATTACACAGAGATAACTTGCCTCAAAAAACTCCAGCCAAACAAACAAACAAACAAAAAATAGATTTTAGACTTTAGCAACATAGTTTCCAAGTGAAAGGAATAAAGGTTTTAAAAACCTGGATATCTTTTGGAAATATCTGAGAGAATGGGTTCATGTACTTAAAATTTTTAATAATTTAAACAGCAATTACAAATGACTTTGTTTTTGAGACAAAGTTCTCTGTAGATAAGTCTTTCCTATGTAGATGTGGTTGACTCTGAACCTCTTATCCTGCCTCTGCCTCCCAACTGCAGGGGAGACAGACGTGGACCACCATGTGCAATGCTGGGGCTAAAGCTGGGGCTTTGTGATGCTCAGCAAGCACTGTCCCAACGGAGCTGCATCCCCTCCCGCAAACGATTACGACCACTATCGAGTCACTCTCTCCACCAGTATCCCGTCAACTTACTCCCCGAGTTCTATTTAAAACAGTTCTTTAAGCACGGCAGAGAAGAGTCAGTAGGAAGAAGGCAACTGGCTTTAACTTAAAAGTGTACAGTACAGTCTGTGCAGAGGTCTCGGCGTGGGAATCTGGAGAGAGTGAGATCTAAAACCTGCTGTCTTCACTATCGAATAAAACCAAGGAGAGCCCCCCCCCCCCATACACTGTGGAACCTCTGAATGCTGGCATGCCACTGTAACATGAGCCAGGACATCCAGGCTTTGGATATAACATTAATAATTTGATAACACTTCTAAACAGATTTCACACACTCATTCACTCACACATGTGTGCACACACACATACATGCACACACATCTTTCATGGGAGATTGATATTACTTCAATTAAGAGAAAGAATAATCTATTCTAACACTGAAATCTCAAGAGAAATTAAATATAGTTTAAATACTCCTCTGACCTATTGAAACAAACTTCTCAGCTATCAACAAAGACACACTACAAGTTCTCTATCTGCATTTCTGACTTTCTGCTGTGACTTATGTAGTCTGAGAAAAGCTGACATGTGTGTGCTTTGGGGGACATCCAGGACAGATTGTCAAGTGATGATAACAGTATGTTTTTGCTTGTTTTTTTTAAATTAGTTCTCAGAGCAAAGTGAGGTGAAAAGAAAAAGCCTCACTCTCTCTCCTGCTCCAGGAGTGTTTTATCCTTTCTTTTGTATGTATGTGAATGTACACGTGTGCACATATATGTGTGTATGTGCATGTAGAGGCCAGAAGTCAACCTTAGGTGTCACTTCTCAGATATTATACACCTGGTTTTTGAGATTTAGTTTTATTTATTTTATGTGTACGGGTTTTTGCCCATATATATATATATATATATATATATATATATATATATATAT